CTGGGAGCTATTTCAAAATATTTTTTCGACAAACCAATGTTAACTAAATGCCTTCTCGAGCCAGCTAAAGAAGGCATGTGTGTCCCATCACGGGTAATGTCGATGTTGCCCAATTGGTTAAGGTGGTGTCGGTCAGTCTTCTCTACTGTGAAGTTTTTTATCCCCTGTAAGCAATTTGCGTGGAAACTTTGAGGCTCCGTAAATATCCTGTCTCTCATCAAACTTCTACCACTATTTTGGCACCCACTGACGACTGTGGAGCACTGTTCTTCCCTCTGTGTTTACTAGTTGGCATGCTACTGTAAGCAGGAGCCCTCCCTTCTGCTAGATTGTTTACGTATTTCTTTTTTTTTTTTCTTTTTTCTTTTTGCGGTACGCAGGCCTCTCACTGTTGTGGCCTCCCTCGTTGCGGAGCACAGATTCCAACGCGCAGGCTCAGCGGCCATGGCTCACGGGCACAGCCCCTCCGCGGCATGTGGGACCTTCCTGGACCGGGGCATAAACCCGTGTCCCCTGCATCGGCAGGCGGACTCTGAACCACTGCGCCACGAGGGAAGCCCTGTTTACGTATTTCTTTAAATCAACATAGACCCATGAATTTTTAGTTCATTCAAAGGGTTTAAGCCCATTACTATCATTATTTATTTTTAGTTATTTATTTACTTATTAGTTTTTTAAGTTGAAGTACAATTGATTTACAACATTGTGTTAGTTTCAGTTGTACACAAAGCTGATTCAGTTATACGTGTATATGTATATTCTTCTTCAGATTCTTTTCCATTAAAGGTTATTACAAGATATTGAATACAGTTCCATGTGCTATACAGTAAATTCTTGTTATTTATCATTATTTACTTTAATGCTTGTGTTGACACAGATTTTGCAATTCTCCCCTCTCTCGTATCTGTTCACTATTCACTATTCTACAGCTCTTTCTGTTCCTTAAACAAAAGGCTATTTCCTGCCTCAGGGCCTTTGCACTGGCTACTCCCCCTCCCTGGAGTGCTGGCTCCTTTGATTCACTCACGTGTCCCTGCTCAGAGTCCTTCTCCGATCATCTCATCTAATTTAAGGCTAATCCCTCTCTCCCTCTCCTACTTTCCCTCTCATTCTCCTCTTCTGTGTTTTCAACCTCTTCCTCTCTACTGGTTCCTTCCTAGGAATATTTCAACATGTTCTAGCCTTTCCCGCATGATTTAAAGGGAAAAAAAAGCCCTATGAATTCTTCCCTTCCCCCTTTGGTTTCGCCATCCCTCCCCACACATCCCTAGCCCTCATCTTCTGCTGACAGCCAAACTTCTAGAAAGCAGAGTCTACACTCTCTCAAGCGCTATTTCTTTGCTTTCCATTTATGCCTCCACCCACCAAAATCTCTGCCCAGAACTGAAACTGAAGTCTTCTCACCCGGCCCACCAACAACCAGGGCAGTGGTTAGCCCATACCAGACCTTTCCAGTGTGGACTGGAAAAAGGTATCCCTTCCTCAAGATACTTGCTTCCCTCTGTCATTAAATGGTCCTCTCAAGCACACCAATCCGCAATGTCCATAATGTGTGTGGCGCCCACTGGCCTTGTGCAGTGTGCTACCGGCACGACCATACTTTGCTGGCAGCCTTCTTTCTGCTAGCTTGAAAGATGCACTCTGGTCTCATCTTGTCTGACCACTCTCAAACTCCCCTGTGACCACCCCTCCTTCTGGAAATGCGGTCTTCCTTTGCAACCATACCACCACATTCTGCATTCCT